GTCGAAAAAAGCGAGTTTCGAATAATAAAAATTGAAACGAGATTGTGGATTTTAAAGGAGCTTGGGAGGCAAGTACCGTACCCCATTCCATACGCCGTGGAACAGCATGTAGAAGTGACCGTTTTTCATCGTGATATGAGTGAAATGGAGTGGAATTCCTGATTTTTTTGTGCGAAAAATTATATTTTAAGATTCAGATTTTAATATTAGAAAAATCGCTCGAAAAGCTACGCTATGCTCCTAACGCCACCAAGGTTAATATGGCGTAATCGAACCCATTTTTTGATTTTCTAACGTTTCAGGGTGATTTTTTTGCTTTTTTTCGTTGAGACATTATTTCTTTCAAGCCGTTTACCAACCAAAATTAGATGACGCAATGGAGGCTTTTTCTAGGTTTTAGATTTTTGCTCCTTTCTTCCTTAATTTCCCGTTTTTCTGCCAGAATTTTGTAGCGTAATCGAATATACCCTCTTTGACCTTGTTTTCAAACTTTTTCTTCATGATTTTTCGAGTGCTTTTCGATTTTTCATGCTCTCCCAGTTAGGGTATTTGATTTAGGCTCTTGCACTCTATTTGCCATATATAATCAAATACTTTTCAGCCCCCTTCCACGATTTATTTGTCAGTTTACCGGCCGACCCCGCCGTTTTACAGAACCATGAACAAATTGACGGGGACAGCAGCGGGCAGAATATTTCGGGTGAGAATTGGGGGATCAGAACCAGTTCTGCCTGTATCTCTCTCTCTCTCTGCTCTCTCTCTCTCTCTCTCTCTCTCTCTATCTCCCTCTCTTTCCATTTTTGCCGATGAAAAGGGGGGATTAGCACAAAGTATCGAAGCGGAATCGGGCCGAGCGGCTGGAAGTGGAGAGAGAAAAGTGAGGGTGTGAAGTGGCGATGACATAAATGTATATTGACAGTGTTTGCTTGGTTGGTACGAGACAATACGGGGGATTACGGTAGATCTGCAGGCGTAATGTCACGGAATCTGCAAAAATGACTTCAAAGGACAGCAGTGCCGGTTTTTTAGGGCGCCAGCAGAGACCATTTGGGAATTGAGAGAGGGAGGGCAGGCTAGCAGAGACCATTTGCGAATTGCATCCTTATTTCCAGTCGCTCCCTTTTCCAGCCTGTGAATGGTGCAAATCTTTCTTTCCCTTCCCCCGATTCGTGTGACCTTTTTGGCGATCGAGGCGGGGGGTGAGGGAATTGTATGTGAATGTGAATGGTATTGGGGGTAGGGTAGGGGGGAAGTGTCTGTCTGTCCCTCTCTCTCCCTCTCTCTCGCTCTATTGGTGTCCTTGTCCCAGATCCCTACCCTTCCATCTATTCATTCGCCACCATCACTTTTATGGGAGGGTTGGGGCGGCGGACTCGTCAAGGAGGGAAGGGTGTGATTGGTGTGAAAGGCGGCTACGCGCCTTTACAAGTTACGGCCAGAGGAGCGATACGGAATCTGAAAAACCAGCTGAACTTGCGTAAGGGGCACGTGTAAGCTAATAATAACTCGTAGTGAGGGGAGATTTCTCAATGGTCTCTGCTAGTTAGCCGCGAGACATATTAGCAGTAAAATTCCTGGGATGATTTTCCAAAACACTTCGATATCCGCCAAAAATTCTGGCTAGCCTGCTTTCCCTATCTCAATTCCCAAATGGTCTCTGCTAGCCTACCCTCCCTCTCTCAATTCCCAAAAGGACTCTGCTAGCCTGCCCTCCCTCTCTCAATTCCCAAATGGTCTCTGCTAGCCTGCCCGTCCCTCTCTCAATTCCCAAATGGTCTCTGCTAGCCTGCCCTCCCTCTCTCAATTCCCAAATGGTCTCTGCTAGCCTACCCTCCCTCTCTCAATTCCCAAATGGTCTCTGCTAGCCTGCCCGTCCCTCTCTCAATTCCCAAATGGTCTCTGCTAGCCTGCCCTCCCCTCTCTCAATTCCCAAAAGGACTCTGCTAGCCTGCCCTCCCTCTCTCAATTCCCAAATGGTCTCTGCTAGCCTGCCCGTCCCTCTCTCAATTCCCAAATGGTCTCTGCTAGCCTGCCCTCCCTCTCTCAATTCCCAAAAGGACTCTGCTAGCCTGCCCTCCCTCTCTCAATTCCCAAATGGTCTCTGCTAGCCTGCCCGTCCCTCTCTCAATTCCCAAATGGTCTCTGCTAGCCTGCCCTCCCCTCTCTCAATTCCCAAATGGTCTCTGCTAGCCTACCCTCCCTCTCTCAATTCCCAAATGGTCTCTGCTAGCCTGCCCGTCCCTCTCTCAATTCCCAAATGGTCTCTGCTAGCCTGCCCTCCCTCTCTCAATTCCCAAAAGGACTCTGCTAGCCTGCCCTCCCCTCTCTCAATTCCCAAATGGTCTCTGCTAGCCTGCCCGTCCCTCTCTCAATTCCCAAATGGTCTCTGCTAGCCTGCCCTCCCTCTCTCAATTCCCAAATGGTCTCTGCTAGCCTGCCCGTCTCTCTATCAATTCCCAAATGGTCTCTGCTAGCCTGCCCTCCCTCTCTCAATTCCCAAATGGTCTCTGCTAGCCTGCCCGTCCCTCTCTCAATTCCCAAATGGTCTCTGCTAGCCTGCCCGTCCCTCTCTCAATTCCCAAATGGTCTCTGCTAGCCTACCCTCCCTCTCTCAATTCCCAAATGGTCTCTGCTAGCCTGCCCGTCCCTCTCTCAATTCCCAAATGGTCTCTGCTAGCCTGCCCTCCCCTCTCTCAATTCCCAAAAGGACTCTGCTAGCCTGCCCTCCCTCTCTCAATTCCCAAATGGTCTCTGCTAGCCTGCCCGTCCCTCTCTCAATTCCCAAATGGTCTCTGCTAGCCTGCCCTCCCTCTCTCAATTCCCAAATGGTCTCTGCTAGCCTGCCCGTCTCTCTATCAATTCCCAAATGGTCTCTGCTAGCCTGCCCTCCCTCTCTCAATTCCCAAATGGTCTCTGCTAGCCTGCCCGTCTCTCTATCAATTCCCAAATGGTCTCTGCTAGCCTGCCCGTCCCTCTCTCAATTCCCAAAAGGTCTCTGCTAGCCTGCCCTCCCTAAATTAGTTCTCGGCCCCTTTAAAACCCTCCTCCCCTAGTATCGGCCCGCCGAATCTTGTGGCTCCCGAATTGGAGGCCATTCTCCCAGGGGCCGACAGTCGCGATGATTCGCCTGTAGAGACAGCGAGAGCGAGAGAGAGCGAGAGAGGGAGAGAGAGACTCCTCCCCTCGATCTCCTCCTCCCCTTCACTCTCTCCTCTCTCCTCTCTCCTCATGCTCTCTCATCTACTGTACGCGATGCATCGTATCGACCGTTTCCGCGGCCATCCACCGGCTAGCCTCCGTTTTTCGGAGTTTAAATGGAGTTTCATTTTAAAGGGCTGGTGTCAGGGGTCAGTATCTCTCTCTCTCTCTCTCTCTCTCTCTCTCTCTCTCTCGCTCGCCCGCTCGCTCTCTCATTCTATAAAACTTTTTCAGAGATGAATATCATCCAGGGCATCCTCTCTTCCGTAAAGCCCCTGCCGGACAGGTAATAATTTTTAAAGGAACCGGCAAGGATGGCTATAGATTTTTGGCCATGGATTCCTATGGATTTTGTCTTGCCAACCCCTTTAAAATTCAAATTCAAATTCAAATTTTTAGCGATTTTTCCGATCGTCTTTCCTATGTCTATTCGACGTTGGGCCTGATCGTCGGCTCGGCTTTTGTATCGGGCTGGAGGTAAATTAGCATAATTTAGCGTATACCTTAAGGGTTTAAAGTGTCATTTTTCATATTTTAAAGTTAAAAAGAATTATTTAAGCTTTTTAAACGCAAATTTTACGCCGATAATTACGTGTTTTTTCAGCTTTGTCGGCAGCCCAATCCAGTGCTGGTTCCCGGCTTATTATAAAGGTATGGTGATTAAGAGTTATGGTTAATTTAAGTTTTAGCTAGATTTTTATAGTTAAAAAACTTATTAATAAAATTAATAACACAATTTTTCAGGATGGTGGATGGAATATGTGTTAGACTATTGTTATGTACAAAATACGTATTTTCTACCGTTTACAGAAATAAAGGTGGGTGAGAGAGAGAGAGAGAGAGGGCGAGCGAGTGAGAGAGAGAGAGAGCGTGAGAGAGACAGACAAAGCTCGATTTTTTTAGCCCCAAAACGAGTGGGATTTCGCGAATCACATCGTGCCATACCCGAAAAATATCACCGAGCGAGAGGACAAGCAGCTGGGTGGGTTTTAAAGGAGCCGACAAGGCTTGGTTAGGGAATTTCTGAGCTCTAAGCCCGCAAAATCCATAGGCATTGCTTGCCGGACTCTTTAAAGGGAATTTCAAGCTCAACTATATTTTTTAGGATATTACCAGTGGGTGCCATTCATCCTCGCTCTCCAAGCCTTCCTCTTCTACCTGCCGATTCTCATCTGGAGAACGGTTTATGAGGGGACCGGTATGTTTTTATTTTTACTTATTTATTTTCCCCTTATTTTTGACTGTTTGGTCGTTTTTAAGGGATTGCCAAGCTTGGCTACGGCCATGAATTTTCTGCGTAGCATGCCGCGGGGACTACTTAGAACGCATGTGTCTCTTGCGTCACGTTTAGAGCTCGTAGTCGATTATGCAACAACAAAAGGCGTGCGCGTTGCGTGTCGCGGGCCCGACAAAATCAGCGAAAATCATAGTTCTGGTTTTTGCCGCGCTCGGGATGCGCAACGCATGCGTCACTTGCGTCACTGGCGCCACGTTTCGAGCTCGTGCTCCATTATCCAGCGAAAAACTAAGCGTGCGTTGCGTGTCGCCTGCTGAGCGCGACTCTTAAGGCCCGCGAACCGCAGTATGCGCTCGATCCTCGGATTTTGAGAGACTACAATCTCGGATCCATTACGCTGCGAAAATCGGTGGCGTTGCGGATCGCGGGCGGAATAAATTTATAGGAAATCCATAGCGAGATCCTGGCTTCTCAGTCCCTTTAAAATTACCTAAAAAATAACTTATAAATTTTTATAGGCTTCAAGATCGCCACAATCTGCCAGACATGCGCCATCGCTCAGAATATGGAGGAGAAGGACCGGGAGAAGAATATGCGAATTGTGTCCGGATTCCTCGTTTATGAGCATTCTGTGGCAAAGTAAGGAGGCTTAAAAGTTAAAATTAACCATTCTTTTTATTTCATAATATTAAATTTAATTAAACTTAAAAATAGCGAAAAATAAAATAGAATAAAATTTAACAATTAAAAAAACGTTAAAATGCTCATTTTTTAGCGCTATCGGTGGAAAAGTGCGGCGTACGGCTTCTGGAACTTTTGTCATCGGCACTTATATGGTAAGCTAATGAAAAAACTTAACTTAAACTTAAAATATACCCCAAAAAATCAGATTTTTGAGCCAAAAACGAAGCCAAATTTGGGGCCAACGAGCAGTGATTTTTGAGGAATTTTCAAATTTTCCATTTACCCAATCTTTCAGCTGACAAAAGTGCTTTTCGTGGCCAACGCCCTGCTCCAATTCGTGCTCCTGAAGGGCTTCCTCGGCGTCGACACATTTTTCTGGGGACTACAGGTTTCAAAAGCTATATTTTAATTTAATTCCATTTTAAGGTGTTCAACGACATTTGCTCGGGGCGGGAATGGCCGCAGAGTGGCAATTTTCCTAGGTAAAACTTTTTTTAAACACGGAAAACTTCGAAAATTGGGCGATTCCTGGTCTGGGTCGATTGTTAGTGGGTTAAGCCATCAAGTGAAGGGCCGGGGTTCAATCCCCGCGGGTGTCAAACCTTTTTGATTTTTGATTTTTCGAATTTTTTATTGTTTTAGAATATTTGTTTTTAGGGTTACGTTCTGCGACTTTGAAGTGCGTGTGCTCGGAAATCTTCATCGCCACTCGGTGCAGTGTGTGTTGATGATCAACATGTTCAACGAGAAAATATTCATTTTCCTGTGGTTCTGGCTGTTCCTAGTGCTCTGCTACAGGTCGGTTTCTCTCGGTCGCTCTCCCCCCCCTCTCTCTCTCTCTCTCTCTCTCTCTCTCCTAAAAAATGCTGATTTTAGCGTTTATTCCCTGTTCTACTGGCTCTCCACCGCCTTCACCACGTCCTATGGGAAGAAGGTGGTCCGGCATTATATTGAGAAGGTAGGAATTGGTGCTTTAGCGGTGGGGGTCTCAAATGGTCTCTGCTAGCCTGTCAATTTCAGATCGATCCTCCAACTGGCGACGCTGAGTACGACCACCACAAAAAGCAACTTCTCGAGGAGTTTGTCGTGGATAAGCTGCGTACGGACGGAGTGTTTGTACTCAGGTATGGCTTAAAAATAATCTAGAATAATAAATAGTATGCAAAATTATTCATATAGTCGAAACAACAATTTCAGGCTGATCATGTCGAATTCTGGGGATATGATTGCGTGCTCGTTGATAAGGACGTTGTGGCAAGATTTTGTGAAGGTACGCTAGTTCTTTGTATCTCTCTCTCTCTCTCTCCCTCTCTCTCACTCGCTCTATGTCCCTCTCGCTCTCTCGCTCTTCTTCTCTCACTTGCTCTCACTGGCCGTCTGCTCCCCCTCACCCTTCCTAGGGCGCGTTCCCTTCGGTATCCCCCTGTGCCTTTGCTGTAATGGCAAGCACTCGCGACTACCAATCTTGTGGTCAGGGTTCCAATCCTTCCTGCAGCAACGCTTTTTGCTTTTTTGGCTAAACCCACAGTAACCATCCCTTTTCAATGTGATCATTTTTCAGGAACGCGGCAGCCGTCCCCCACCTTACGAGAAGCCCAAACTCCTCCAAGGCGGCCTCTTGCCCGATAAAGACCAGGAGAGCGCCTTTTAGCCTTTCACGCCTTTACATAGCGTAATGTAGCCCAGATGAAGAGATTTATCACTTATCGAATTTACACTTTATTTTCGATTAATCGTCGGTTTTTAATTGTTTATGTAAACCACCGATTCCTGCCGAGTTCCGCTTCGATACAAAATACACATTCCGCCTCTTTTTCTCTCGGATCCCTCGAATATTTTGCTGTGCTTTGTGAGCTGTGATATATGATCGTCAATGATTGGATAACAAGGATTTAAGATAAAAAAATTATAATTTGAATTTTGTGGAACTACAGTAGTGAAAAATACACGGAATATCGGATTAAAGACCGTCAATTTTTCATTTCATTTCCTTAAATAAGTCATATCTAAATATTATACGTATTTTAGCTATTAAGGTATTTCATTGGCATATTAAATGTGTTTACACCGACGATTTTTTAAAAATAAGGTTTATTCAGTTTAATTAATTTAAAAAAATTTTTGTAATTAAATTTTTTAATTTTTGAATTTTTAGTTTCACTCAATTTATATACCTAACAACTACCGTATAAGTCGAATAGAACCCTCTACAGTACCCCATTAAACATTTCAGCCCGCCGACTCGACCCGACAAGGTCGAGCCCTAATTTGAGGTCGGGGCGCTTCGCGGTGGGCTAACTTTTTGGCTGGCTGCCAGGAGACTGGAATTTCGAAAAATGCTGCGGAAAAGTGACGCAATTTGGAGGGTGTCCGAATGGAAAAACCTCGGAATCAAAGGAGGATTTTGTTTGCACGATGAGCAATACCCGGGAGGTAGTCCTTGAATTTTGACGTTTAGCATCTGGTTATTTCACTCTCGCTCTCTCACTTTCTCTCTCTCTCTCTCTCGCTCTTTCTCTCTTTCTCCTTTCTCTATTCCGTTCTCTCTCCATCTCTCCCTCTTTCGCTCTCTGTCTCTCTCCTCTCCTTCCATCCGATTTGCATGTATGGACTTTTTCCGAGCGTCTGGACAACGCCAGCCTTTTCACACAAACAGGCCTACAGTTCAGGACCAAGAGTCAAACATCCCAAAGATGAGAGAGACAGAGAGAGAGAAGCAGAGAAAGAGAGAACTGGGGCAGGGCAGGCTGTAAAATGTGCGAATTGGACACGGCAAAGGGGGGTTGGTAGGGGACGGCTATTGTCACATTGACGACTTGCAGAAATTGGGGACAGGTTTATTTAAAGGGAAAGGCAAGGGTTGGATATGGATTTTTGGGCTAAGGATTCCTACGTATTTGGAGAACCAGCGACGCGCGACGTACACGCGGGTAGCTGAAATCCGTAGAAAAAGCCTCTCCAGGGACTTTGAAGGGATCTGCACGCGAGAGGGAAAGAGGGAGAGAGACAGAGAGAGAGAGGGAGAGACAGTGAAAGATAGAAAGCGAGAGAGATAGTGCGAGAGAGAGCGAGGGAGATTGAGAGAGACAGAGAGAGCGAGAGAGATGAGAGGGAGCTAGAGAGAATGAGAGAAACAGAGAGAAACAGAGAGAGAGAGAGCTCGGGAACGAGAGAGCATGAGAGCGAGAGCGAGAAAGAATGCGAGAGACTGAGCAAGGGAAAGCCAGATCGAGCAATAGAGACAGAGGAACATACTGACAAACAAACAGGCAAACAGCCAACCCTTAAATTTGTATAGTTTTCCGTACACCACCATTTTATCGCGCTCTCTCTTTCTCTCTCTCTCTCTCTCTCCCTACCTTCTGACTAATGATTCGGGAATCGTGCTCATTGTCTGTCTGTCTGTCTCGAGCAAGAGGGCCGAGGTATCCTCCCTCCCCCTCCATTTTGGGGGTCGTCCATTCGGAGATGCGAGAGAGTGGAGGGGCAGAGATTGAGAGCGAGGGTGAGAGGCGTGTCTCTCTCTCTCTCTGTCTCTCTAAAGAGAGAGAGGAAGAGGGGCGGTAGTAGCACTGTATCCCATCGATCCCCACCATGCCCCGGCCTTCTCGCCCCTCTTCTACCCCAACAGTTCTGTACTCTTTTTACGTTTTTACAGGGTTTTCATGGCTAATTGGCTAGGGGTTCCGTTACTTTACTCTTTACGCTTCCAATTAATTCATCAAATTTGTTTATGGTAATATTAGAGTGATCTTTTGGTTATTTAACTGACTGCTCAGGTCCTTTAAAATGTCTTTGGAATTTACAAATTCACAGTAGATCAATTTCTGCACTTCTCGGCCCCTTTAAAAGCCTGTAAAAAAATCATTTAAAGGTTCAAGTAAGATTCAAAAGCTGTGGATTCCTTACAAATCCTGTGCACGCCGAGCTATACGCCGAATTTTACGGATTTTTGCGTGTGTCTTTATTCAATTCTGTGGTCCTTAAAAAATGCCGAAAGCCGTTTTAAAGGGACTTGGAAGGATCGGGTTCTATGGATTTCGTTCCATTCCTAATTACAACAGCCATTTAAGGCGAATTTTATGTTTTATCGTAATTTCTCGAATATTTATGAATTTGACTTTCTATGACTTCAACGTTCCTTTAAAACGCCGCAATTTTGATAAAAAGTCTTTAAAGGGACTTGGAAGGCTGCAAAGCTATGGATTTCGTCTAGTTTCTGTTTGCACCATATGTTTAGTTTCGTTTCCAACTGCTGTGGTCCTTTAAAATGCCGAGAAAAGACCAGAAAATGGAAGTCTTTTCGCCATTTCACAAATACGCATTATTGTTTTTTCTTTTCCCCCGTTTTTCGGCCCTTTAAAACCGCAAAAACGAGCCGAAAAAATTAAAATTATGTTTCAGGCGATTTACCTATTCCCGGGGGCAGTGTACGGAGGTGTGGCGCGTAGCCCTAGAAGAAGAAGGGGAACAAGCAGAAGAAGATGTTCTTCATCGACGTATTTCTGAAGGGGCTGAAGCCGAATTATGATGATGATGCGGTGGATCGGTTGAATTACTACTACACCCCCATGTTGATCGTCATTTTCGCATTGACGCTCTCCGCTAAGCAGTAAGTTTTTATGGGTTATTCAGGCATTAATGGGGGCAGGATATTCCTAAATGGTTTCTGCTCGCTTGCCATTTCCTATCTTATCTTGAAAACGCTATCTTTAATGCTCTCGGTCGTATATATTCGATCCTAATGATCCCAGGTTGTCCCCAAATTCCGAATCGCTCCTACTGACATATAATCTTGATTTGATGTGTTCTCAAACGGTCTCTGCTAGCTGACCCTTTCGGCTAATTTTGAAAAGATCTCCTGAATGCTCCTAGAGCCCAGTTTTAATTTCTAAATGATCTTTGCTAGCTTGCCCTTCCTTCGTGCGTGTTTGAGAAGCTTTCATTAGTGCTCCGAAGCTGTAAATTACCATTTTTTCCCAAAGAATCTCTGCTAGCCTACCTTGCACTTGTAGAATAAATCAAAAATCCGAATTTTATCCGGAATGTTTTCTGCTAGCCTGCCAAGCAGTTTTTTTAAAAGAATTTAGCAGGTAAGGTGGATTCTACAATTTTCCACCGTATGACCGTAGCCTAGCGGATTTAGCTCTCCGGATCCGTCAAGCCCCAAATTTCCACAATAATCTCTGCTAGTTTGCCCACAGATTTCGAGGCCACTTATCGATTTTTCCCAAAGTCCATAGTCGCCTGGCGGAATGACCTCGCGATTTTGATTCGATCTGCATCCCGAATTATTATCGCGCCGCCTCATCGCCGTCGGAGAGTCAGCCGCACAAGGAGAGAACCTAGGGGGTCAGCTAAAATATAGAAAATTAGCATTTTAAAGAGATCATGATGACAGGGTTAATTAAGTAGATTTTCATTCCGTAATCGTTTCTACAAAAACATGTTAACCCTTTAAGGTACTTAAAAAAACTGGCTAGTCTGCAGAGGGTACTTTAAAGGCGACAAGGCTGTGCGTTGAATTGGCTGTATTTTCATACCGTCATCATTAAACCGCATCTAGACCTTGATTTCTCTACAACATCCTTGATTTCACCATGTTTCGTCATGCTATTGGCCTCTGTCATTGTGAAGGCTAGAGCGGAATGGCCTTTATGCAAATTAGCCATCTCACATCGCCGCCCGTCCCCTATTTTACAGGTCCCCTACTAGGCCCGTCCCCTACTCAACTGACACCTAAGGGATTGATTGAATGGAAAGGGGTGAGAAAATGGGTGAAAAAGAATGGCAGAATTCTAAAAAACACCGCTAGACGGCCCTGTCAATTCCTAAAAGATCTTGGCTAGCTTGCCTTCCAAAAAAAGGCTTCTTGGCCAACCCCAAAAGGACAGAGAAATTCCTCAAAAAATCGATGCTAGCTTGCCCCAGGATTTCTGGTAATACTTAAACTTTAATGTTCTAAGAATTCCTGCTAGCTTCCGGTAGATGAAATACTTTCCCCAGGGGTCTCTGCTAGCTCGCACAGATTTACCAAAGACTCTCTGCTAGCTTGCCCTCCCTGCCAAAAATTCCTAAAGAATCTTTGCTAACAAATCTTTGTAAGCGCCCGCTAGCACCAAAGAAATCCTAAAGAAACTCTGCATTTGACCCAATTTCCCCCAAAGAATCTCTGCTATTGGCAAGCCGAGAGGTAAATAAGCAAAGAGGATCCCTCAGACTTTAAAAAACGTTACGCTCTTTCAGATACGTCGGTCAGCCAATCCAATGCTGGATCCCCGCCCAATTCACTGGAGCATGGGAACAATATTCGGAGAACTATTGCTTCGTTCAGAATACATACTTCTTGCCCCTCAATCATTATATTCCTCATGATGTCGAGGAGAGGGAGAATAGAGAGATTGGTAGGTGGCGAGAGCGAGATAGAGAGCGAGACAGAGAGTGGAAGAAAGAGAGAGAGAAAGAGAGAGTGAGAGAGATCGAGAGCGCGTGGGTGAGAGAGTGACAAAGAGCGAAAAAGATAAAGTAAAGTGTTAACGCATTAACGGAGCGAAAAATTACTGTGCATTAATGACAAGCCGTTTCAAAAATTCTTAGCTTTCACGATCCCTTTAAAACACATATCCATTATTGCGTCGACTAAAATGA